AGTCAACACCCCACCTGGGTGATAACGTTCTTCCAAAGATTGCTCAAATTGAGAGAGACAAAACACAGACACGGAGACACAAAAGAGAGATAACACAGAGATACACACTTAGGCACACAGAGAAACAACGCCTCTGTGTCGAGGCCTTAAATAGCGAGAGAGGGGGGGTAGAGAAATTAGCAAGTCAATGCAAGGCCGTAGCCATGGAGTCAACATTGGGGGGGACCAAATCTTCCAGGGGGTCTGGGGTTCCCGCCCAGAAAAAAAATTAAATTTGAAAACTAATTTCCTGCATAAAATATTTAAAAAATTCACTAACACATGGGATGGAATTTTTTGTATTTGATACAATAATGTCAAATATTGTATTGTATTACATTGCTCTGTTTTTACTTTTTTACCTTTTATTGTTTCATAGTATGTAATGGCAGAGATTAAGGATTCATAAAGTACAACGCAATCATATAAACAGAAATCTATGCGTTGTTATATGAAGACAAGTCCAGATTTGTGGCCAAGGTTTAGCAAATTGTTGTTTTTATTAACATAGCATCGCAATTATTATTTTAACAAAAATGTTTTATAGTAATATATTGGGGGGGGACATTTTGAGTATATTTGATTATTGAGGGGGATGTGTCCCCCAATATATTATAATTATTATAATATATTATAATTACGGCCTTGTGTCAATGAGAGATTTGGAGCTTTGGTGACTGCAGTAAATAATAACAGGACACATAGAGAGAAAGCACACTTAATCAAACAAACCGAGTACAATTAGGAAATGTAATGCAATGCAACACAGAGAGTCGGTCAACACACAATTAACGCATAGCCTGGTCGATTACATTCTTACAAAGATTGCTCAACTAAGCAAAGAGAATTGAAGCAAACGCGATCAGGCGAGGGCAGGAGGCAAGGCCCCGCGTGGTTAGGCCCCGCGCTGTAAAGTTCCAACCTGGACATCGCTTCCATGCTCGCTGCTACTCAATTGACATCCCTACGAGAGAGAAAGCGAGGCTCTACTTCGGTAAACAACCACCACCACAACAACCACCACAACCACAACGAGAATTTCTCACCTCGGATTTCACTGCACGGGCGGAGCAGCAGCTTCCTGTTACTTCGTGACGTCACGCGGCAGCATGAGGTGACGTCACGCTCAAGGGCGCCTTGGACGGGGTGGGGTGAATACCCTGGTGACATGACGTCACTAGAGAGGTACACCTCCCCCTGGCGTTTCACGCCGATGAGGTAATGCTGAGTGGTGAAGTCAGAGAGCGGCGTTGGAGTTTAAGTTGATTTAGATTAATATTCCATTGCTCCCTCCCTTGATCAGAGACCCCTTGGGTGTGTGAGCTCAGCAACAACAACGTGGACATTATATACTTAGTTATTTCGGCAAAGTCAAAATAATAAAATAATAAAATATATTTTATTAATTTGTTGTTTCCCTTCAACGTGACTTTGCCGAAAGAACTAAGATTATGAATTACTGCAGTCACGAAAGCTTTAAATCAAAATTTAACGTGGACATTATTGTGTACACACTGCGTGTGTGTAGACACTGTGTGTACGTACACAGTGTGTGTACAGTGTGTGTACACACTGTACACAGTGTGTGTACATTGTGTGTGTGTTTACACACACACACACTGTGTGTGTGTGTGTACACACACACACTGTGTGTGTGCACTGTTTGTACACACTGTACACTGTGTGTGAACACTGTGTGAACACTGTATGTGTACACACTGTGTATGTGTACACACTGTGTATGTGTGTACACATACTGTGTATGTGTACACGCATACTGTGTATGTGTACACGCACACTGTGTGTGTGTGTACATACTGTGTGTGTGTACATACTGTGTGTTTTGGCCATGTTTTTTTATTGTAGTACGGAGTTAGACTGATGGCCTTAATCTTAGTTGTCTTGTGGTTGTTGTTGTTATTTGACTTCCATCCCACTGGGATTTTTGCACACAGCCTTGGTGTACGGTGCTATTTCAGGAATATTTTGATATTTTTTCCTGTATTTTCTGTTTGCACAGTCACACAAGTCACTTTAAGATGTTTTCTTGTTCATGTTTTTTTGTTTGTTGCGGTTGCACCCGATTCAAGAGCCGAATGGCTCACAGGGCTATACCAAATAAATGAACTACATACTGTGTGTGTGTACACTGTGTGTGTGTACACTGTGGGGGACACAGGCATCTCAGTCAGTCGACCAATGCCATCTTTTAATCAATTTATTATTTTCCAAATTTGTATTATTTGTAATTTTATGTATTATTTCTTTTTTAAATTATTTTTTTGTTTTCTATCGACGTGACTTTTATCGAAAGAACCAAGAATATAAAATCTTGATTTGAAGCTTTCGTGACTGCAGGAATTCATATTCTTGGTTCTTTCGGTAAAGTCACGTAAATAATAAATACATAATTACGTAAGATATAAATATTAAAATAAAATTACAATTTAAGTAATACAAAATAAATTATATTTTTTATTTTATTTTCTATTTACGTAACTTTACCGAAAGAACCAAGAACATGGTAGCACATTCTCTATTTACTGCAGAGGTTCAAGGTTCAAAACCGACAGGCACACCTGGCTACCCCAGTAACATTCACCAAAATATGCGCAGTCTGCTTAACGGCAGATGTAAAACATAGCGTTGTGTCATTCACAACGCACAGGTCATTGCATGTTGGTGTCACGGTCAAAATTGTGGTAATTCCAACCATTATCCAGTGTAGTCGGAATAACCATTAGCCTTAAGAGCTTGGTGTACGTGCTTGAGTTCACTGGCTATATGTTCCTGGTCGGATATGCATTGGGCTCTATGGTGCAGAGTCTTGGTGAGGAAATTCTTTTGGGTGGGATGGTGGTGGGAATCCTGTTTCAGGTAAGCATCCGTATGGATAGCTTTCCTATAGACAGAGTGGCTCATTGAACCATCAGGTCTCTTTTTTATTAGGACATCCAAAAAAGGTAGCTTGCCATATTTTTAGACTTTCATGGCAAATCTGATGGCTAGGTGTATGGAATTGATGTGGTCGAATAATTGGTACAGAGCAGGCCAACAATGTGGCCAGATGACAAAAGTGTCATCCACGTACCTCCTCCATAAGGTTGGGCGCAGAGTGGCAGTCTGGATGGCGTCAGTCTCAAATTTCTCCATGAAAATGTTGGCTACAAGCGGAGATAGGAGGGAGCCCATTGGGGTGCCCTCAGTTTGTAGAAAGTTCCATTCCAAGTGAAGTATGTATTGGTTAAGCAGTGTCTTACCAGGGGGGGGTACCTCAGTGTTGGAGAGATAGCAAAGCTATCACGTCCATCTGAACAAACTGTCAAATCTCTCTCCGTGGTGCTAACGTTCAAAATAACCGCCACTTCATTCAAATTTTCTTGTTGTGGTTTTTTACACCTGATGATGATTGCTTGTGTTGCAGTCGAAATGCCGTGAGAATTTTATTGTTTTATATTTTTATTATTTTTTGTTTCCCTTCTACGTGACTTTACAGAAAGAACCAAGAATATGAATCCCTGCAGTCACGAAAGCTTTAAATCAAAATTTATATGCATCAGGTTACATCACATTAACAAGAAGCTATTTAAAAATAAAATATTTAAAAATATGTATTTTTTCAAACACGCTTTAATTAAATGTACCGTACTCGTAATGGCAGAACTCCACGACTCCAGGAAGTGGCCCCGCAGCTTGCCATAGCGTAAGGGACCGTGGTAATTTACAGGCAACGTGAGTTGAGCGGAGCGTTGACAATTAGACACGAAAAAAAGATTGTTTAAAAATATATATAGAATATAGTCTTGTCATCAGTATGACATACCTGTGAAATTTGCAGTCGATAGCACATTGGAAGATGGTAGAAAGTGAGTTACAAGATTTGAGAATACGACAACAGATTTAAATAAAAGCATGTAAAATGTAAAAAGAGAATATTTTTTTGATGATAGAATATAGTCTTGTCATCAGTATGACATAAGTATACCAAGTTTGCAGTCGATAGCACGTTGGAAAGTGGGTAAAAATTGAGTTACAATCATTTTTTAGGATGTGACAACAGACGGAGTGAGTTAAATAAAAAGCGTGTAAAATACGCAGTCTGCTTAACAGTGTATGTACAACATACAATTGCACCATTCAAAACGAGTAGGCTATTGCATGCTGGCGTCTGGGTCAACATTGATCAAATTCTAAACATTACCTACAAACGCCGCAACTAAGATGCCACATCAACCATCGCCCCCTACTGACAGGCTCTTGTCCACATGCAGGCCGGTGCAGGGCCACCACCTTGTGCCACACAGGGGCAGCTGCTACTTGGGGATGCTCTTCGAGTGTTTGAGACGAGATATGATACAAAACTCCGAATTGCCAGAGGCGATTAAGCAAGCACCATATAAATGGAATTATTAAAACCAAGTGAATGCTTGGGAGCTTATTGCCTCTCGCTTCTGGTCAGAGATCTACCCAACCCACAGGTTGAACCTAGGAATTGAGTGTTCAACTTCATTGTCATTAAAGGCCTGTGACAAAGGTGCATCTATTGCAGCGACATCGTCTCAAGCTTACACATCTACCGGGTCTCCATTTGACGTATTGTCTTGGAGGAAGTCCACCCACACCTCCACTTTCACAAACTGCTGGGAGTTGCCTCGCTCTGCCTCACAGTCAGAATTTTCCTCCTGCTTCACGTTGCTTCCATCGATGTGAAGGTCCGATTTTGGAGTTGAATCTTCATCTTCACATTTTACCCTCACTTCTTCGCTCTTCACCGTCACTTCTTCACATTTCACCCTCACCTCTTCAAATTTCACCTTGATACCTTTAAAAGTGTCCAAGCTGGGATTTTCTTCCGGTTGTTTCATGAGGGATGGGCTCATTACAGCACTTTGACTTTCACAAGCTGATTTCAGACTCCACTCCTTGTGGATCTTCCGAAGCTTGTGAGTTCTCTGGTGTACATGAAGATTTGATGACTGTGCAAACGTCTTCCTGCAAACACTGCACGTGAAGGGTTTCTCTCCCGTGTGTGTTCTCTGGTGTCTTACAAGAGCAGATGAATGTGCAAATGCCTTCCCACACACACTGCACTTGAAGGGTTTCTCTCCCGTGTGAGTTCTCTGGTGTGTTACAAGCGTAGATAACTGTGCAAATGCCATCCCGCACACACTGCACTTGAAGGGTTTCTCTCCTGTGTGTGTTCTCTGGTGTGTTACAAGAGTAGGTAACTGTGCAAACGCCTTCCCACACTCACTGCACTTGAAGGGTTTCTCTCCCGTGTGCATTCTCTGGTGTGTTACAAGACCAGATGAACGTGCAAACGACATCCCACACACACTGCACGTGAAGGGTTTATCTTCCGTGTGTGTTCTCTGGTGTGTTACAAGAGTAGATGACTGTGCAAATGTCTTCCCACACACACTGCACTTGAAGGGTTTCTCTCCTGTGTGAGTTCTCTGGTGCCGTGTCAGGTGTACAGTACGATCTGTGCTGTATGCACACCGGTCGCATTGATGCCTTTTTGCACCGAGCCGCGGTGAGTGCCTTTGCTCCATCAGACAAATTCTGCAGAGGAAGCAACAGCGGAAGCGACAGCTGCAGACAGAAAAAAAGTATCCACACCATCTACACGTTAGTATCAATGCACAGAGGAATGCATACGCACAGTAACACATGACTTACACGTCTATACTTATTTATATATTCATGATATAGTGAAAGTGTCCCAACTTCATCACACGGGCTGTTATGGCACACAATGAGAGGGCAAATGTCACAAACGTGTCTGGAAGCCCTCGTATCTTCAAAATGAATGTTAACCCAAAACTCCGAGCACACCATTTCGGCTATTTGACTTCAAAAGGAATATTTATGAAAGCTAAATTCAGCTGACATAGCAAAGGGTGTTGAAAATAATACTATTAGTGTTATGCATAAATGAATGTTCAATCGCAACTTAGAGGTGTGAAGCCAGGCACAGATGTCCTTGAATGCTGGGATGAGCAGTTCCGACTTCAGCTGCACGTGTGCTGTGATAACTTCCTGACTACATTCTTACAAAGAGTTCCAGAGGAAAATAAAAAATAAACTGTTTTGATATAACCTCCGTGCTCAATAGAGTTAATAGACTTTACTGAAAATACAAACTTCACACTGTCACACACTGGCATGGTAAACAGTTGGTGGTGTGTCCAGACGCATGCCTGGCCACCTTCATCCACTCAGTATTAATGCTTCCTTACTCCACCAAGTAATAATTGAAAATCAATCAACATCGCGGAGGCTGCGTGTCTCTCTCTACATGTGGTGAGATGTTAACTACCTCTGCTGGCATACAGGAAGTCGTGGGTTCAATCCTGACCCTGACGCCTGCTGTATATATGGAGTTTGCGTGTCTCTCTCTCTCTCCCCGTGGTTACGTGGATTTCGCTCCAGATCCCCCGGTTATCCCCACTCCACATGCAGAAAGAGAACACCGCCATGCGTCTAGAGTGAACACCGCCACACGTCTAGAGTGAACACCACCACGCGTCTAGAGTGAACACCGCCACGCATCTAGAGTGAACACCGCCACACGTCTAGAGTGAACACCGCCACATGTCTAGAGTGAACACCGCCGCACGTCTAGAGTGAACACCGCCACGCGTCTAGAGTGAACACCGCCACGCGTCTAGACTGAATACCGCCACGTGTCTAGAGTGAACACCACCACGCGTCTAGAGTGAACACTTCCACGCGTCTAGAGTGAAACTTAAGCAAGATACTCTTTGGTTATTTCGGTAAAGTAACGTAGAGGGAAAATAATTAATTAAATAGTAGCATACATTTCGATTGCAACACAAGCAATCATTATCAGGTACAAATGAAAGAGAAAACAAACCTAGTAAACTTAGAAACTTATTGCAATACAACACAGAGAGACGGCTAACATAACAGTCAACACCCCAGCTGGTGATAACGTTGTTCCAAAGATTGCCCAATTTGAGAGACAAAACACAGACACGGAGACATAACACAGAGACACACAGAGAGAGATACACACATAGGCACATAGAGAAACAACGCCTCTGTCTTGAGGCCTTAAATAGAGAGAGAGGAGGGGTAGAGAAATTAGCAAGTCAATGCAAGGCCGTAGCCATGGAGTCAACATTGGGGGGGACCAAATCTTCCAGGGGGTCTGGGGTCCCCCCCCAGAAAAAAATTACATTTGAAAACTAATTTCCTGCCATTTCCTGCTTAAAATATTTAACAATTTCACTAACACATGGGTTGGAATTTTTTTTATCTGATACAATGTCTAATATTGTATTGTATTACATTGCTCTTTTTTCTTTTCTACCTTTTCTTGTTTCATAGTATGTAATGGCAGAGATTAGGGATTCATAAAGTACAACGCAATCATATAAACAGAAATCTATGCATTGTTATATGAAGACAAGTCCAGATTTTGTGGCCAAAGTTTAGCTAATTGTTTTTATTAACATAGCATAGCAATTATTATTTAAAAAAATATTTTTATAGCAATATATTTGGGGGGACATTTTGACCATATTTGATTATTGGGGGGGATGTGTGTCCCCAAATATATGTTATAATTATTATAAAATATTATAATTACGGCCTTGTGTCAATGAGAGATTTGGAGCTTTGGCGACTGCAGTAAATAATAACACGAGCACACACACATAGAGAGAGAGAAAGCACACTTAATCAAACAAACCGAGTACAATTAGGAAATGTAATGCAATGCAACACAGAGAGTCGGTCAACACACAATGAACGCATAGCCTGGTTGATTACATTCTTACAAAGATTGCTCAACTAAGCGAGAGAATTGAAGCAAACGCGATCAGGCGAGGGCAGGAGGCAAGGCCCCGCGTGGCTAGGCCCCGCGCTGTAAAGTTTCAACCTGGACATCGCTTCCATGCTCGCTGCTACTCAATTGACATCCCTACGAGAGAGAGCGAGGCTCTACCTCGGTAAACAACCACCACAACAACCACCACCACAACCACCATCACAACCACAACCGCGACGAGAATTTCTCACCTCGGATTTCAGTGCACGGGCGGAGCAGCAGCTTCCTGTTACTTCGTGACGTCACGCGGTAGCAGGAGGTGATATGACGTCACTTATGGGGAACGATAACACTCCCCTCCCACTATGAGCGGCTCCGTACATGAATAAATTATGTTAATGAGCCCGTCCCATATGTAGAGGGATGGGGCGTGGGTGCTGAACCCGTCGCGACGGCTTTCACGAATTAATTATGTTAATGAGCTGCCAGTCACTCTGCGTGGCCTTGCCCAAATATGGATTATACTTGAACAGAAAACGGCCGCGCCCCAGGCAGAGGTGACGTCACGCTCAAGGGCGCCTTGGACGGGGTGGGGTGAATACTCTGGTGACATGACGTCACTAGCGAGGTACACCTCCCCCTGGCGTTTCACGCCGATGAGACAATGCTGAGTGGTGACGTCACAGAGCGGGGTTGGAGTTTAAGTTGATTTTGATTCATTTTCCATTGCTCCCTCCCTTTATCCGAGACCCCTTGGGTGGTGAGCTCAGCAACAACGTGTACACTGTGTGTGTGTACACTGTGTGTGTGTACACTGTGTGTGTGTACACTGTGTGTGTGTACACTGTGTGTGTGTACACTGTGTGTGTGTACACTGTGTGTGTGTACACTGTGTGTGTGTACACTGTGTGTGTGTACACTGTGTGTGTGTACACTGTGTGTGTGTACACTGTGTGTGTGTGTTTGTACACTATGTGTGTGTGTTTGTACACTATGTGTGTGTGTTTGTACACTATGTGTGTGTGTTTGTACACTATGTGTGTGTGTTTGTACACTTTGTGTGTGTGTACACTGTGTGTGTGTGTACACGGTGTGTGTACACGGTGTGTGTGTACACACTGTGTGTGTGTACGTGTACACTGTGTGTGTACACTGTGTGTGTACCTGTGTGGGGGCTCCCGTCCCCCGCCATCACTGAATTGTCGGGGCCGTTGCCCACCGACTCCCCCGTTCTATTCATACCGCTACCCCCCCCCCCCCCCCCCCCCGGCTGCTCTGTCAGGTCCAGACTACCGACCCCTAATGTCTCGCCCCCCTGTACCTCTGCCTGGGATGTCGACCGCGTTTGCATAGCTTACTTAGCGGCTCGTACGCTTTGCGCTTGCGATACGCTACACTGTTCAACGTCGGTGTGCGCTCGCAAAGTAAAACCCCGTCCCGCACGGGAATAAACAGGCGCGGCGCGCCGCCGTGGGATTCCCTCCCAACCACGCTCCACGCGCTTAAGCAAAAAACAAACACGCCGCAATCACTTTGCTCCGATTTAACGGGCCGTTTGCACAGCTGCGTATTCGCGCATGCCAGGCACTTAATTCGCTACCTCGCTATTAGACAATCGCGCGGGTGCGCGACCACCACCCCGTCACGCAGGCGCGCGAGCGGTAAGTGCTACTGTAGGCGATTGCACAGGTACGCGAGCGCTGGGCACCACCGAAAATAGTCGTGTGGGTATGCACGCGCTGAACAATACTGTAAACAATTGTACAGGTACGCGGACACCAAGCACGCTCTACTCCCTTATTCGCCGCAAACAGCCGCGTATGCGCGCGAACACAAAAACACTCTCCACCCTCCTCTTCACCCTCCAAAGGACCACACGACACAAGTTTATTCCCCTACCAGTTATTTTCTTTACCGTGAGCAACCCGTTAAGCTACGGGTAATTGCGTGGGTCCGTGGATGTCAGCCTAGTCCCCTTGGGATCCTAGACTGTATTTCCTCTGCCTATCACTCTTCTTTCTACCCTCGATCAAATAGCCCAAACTTACCTCTCTCTTACTCATGTGTACTTCCACTCTGCTGCGCTGGAAGCTGTAGAAAAGCGATCCGTAGAGGGTTGAGCCTGGCTGCGCTGAAGTTCGTCACTCGGATGTCTCGAACGGCTGACTCCCCTCCTGCGTGGACCGCGATGATTTTTTAAGAAGACTGACTCTTGCTACGCTAAGCCTTCATATTGTATACACCCTAAAGGCATTCCGTTGCTCTGTGTGTGGTGTTTTCGTGTAAGCAATGTGGGATATCGATGTACACGGATATGAGCAAGATCAGCAGACAAGACGTCTTTCATACTCTTTGGTTCTTTCAGTAAAGTCACGTAGGTAGAAAAAATAAAATAAAGGATAAATCACGTTTCGATCGCAACACGAGCGGTGGTCCTCAGGCGAAAACATCCAGACATTGTCGCGGCAGAAGTCACGTGAGCTACGGCACGTGACAAAGATAAGGTGACCCCCCCCCCCCCCACCGTGGCTCGCCCCGCTCAGCTGAGCATTGTTTTAATGTGATGGGCTCACGCGAAATTTATTTTTGTAAGATGAAGGTACTTTGAAAACCCACTGGCTATACTCTATTATATAAGTGTTGTGTCCTTAACTAATCACACTGAGACGTCTGGT